CTCATTGCCTTAAGAGTATGCCTAAACGTATACGCGATTACAGCAAAGCTAACTACCCTGCCATCAATGATGAATTGGCGCAATTTCTGGACGAATATATGCAGAATTTTTCTAATCGCACTATAGAATCCAATTGGTCTATTTTTAAAGTCAAAGTTAATTATCTTGTAAACAAATACGTACCCCTACGAATTATACCGTACAAGAACAGGTCCCCTTGGTTTACTGTTTCTTTAAAGCACCTGCGAAATAAAAAGAAACGACTGTTCCGCAAAGCAAAGCAGTTCAATAAACCGGACTTGTTGTGTGCGTATCAGAATGTTGCAACCCTCTTTAAGAATGAAGTGGTAAAAGCCAAAAACATATTTTTTAATGATACCCTACCATCCTTATTGACAAATGACACTAAGAAATTTTGGAATATAATTGGTGGACAAAAAGAGAGTGTGATATCGCTAATCAACGATAATGGAGTCTCAGTTCCAAGGTCGGAATGTTCATATTTACTAAATGATGTGTTTTTTCAGTCTTTTATGCCACAGTCTTTTGTTTCTTGCCCTGAATATAATCTTGCAGCCTTTCCACTTATGGATCCTGTTATAATTGATTGCATTGGTGTGCTTAGCATAATAAAAACATTAAAAGTTTCTTCTTCATCTGGAACTGACGGGATTAATTCTAAATTTCTGAAGAACACTGAAATGCTCTCTTCTGTAATACTGTCTAAACTTTTCTCGCAGTCCCTAGATCTTTCTTTGTTGCCCAGCGATTGGAAGGTGGGTAAGGTGGTACCTTTGTTTAAATCAGGTGATGCTCACTCTCCTCTTAATTACAGGCCTATATCTTTGACTAGTGTCCCATGTAAAATGTTGGAGCATATCATCTATTCTAACCTAGTTAACTTTCTTGAATCCAACTCATTTTTCACATATCGTCAGCATGGTTTTCGTAAATCATTCTCATGTGAAACGCAACTGGTTTGTTTCACGAACGATGTTCTCTCTGCGCTAGACAATAACATTTCAATCGACTGCATATTTCTTGATTTTTCGAAAGCCTTTGATTTAGTCCCTCACCAACTGCTCTGCTTAAAAAAAAAAAAAAAACTAAACATTGACTCTAACGTTCTTGCATGGATCGAAAATTTTCTCTCTAACAGAACACAGTTTGTAACTGCAAACGACTCACACCCTTGTTACATGGGCACACTTAACTGCAGTTACGCTAAACCACAATTAGCGCATAATACTTGCCGACAACATCGGGCTGTGATGCAGCCAGAGCTATGCGCGAACGTGCGCTTGAGCATTTTGAGCACCCATCAAAGCAGTGCACGCGCTCTCTTCACTTTCTTTGAAATAGCTGTCCGAGGGTATAGTGCGGCACCTGTGCTGCCACGTAACCGCAGTTAAAGCTGAGTTAACCGCGGTTAAGTGTGCCCGTGTAACAGGGGTATCAGACTCTCTTCCCTGCCCTGTTACTTCGGGTGTGCCGCAAGGTTCCGTCCTCGGCCCCCTTCTTTTCTTCATATACATAAATGACCTCGTTAACAATGTCCAGTCATCCATAAGGTTGTTTGCAGATGATTATGTCATTTATCGTGTAATCTATTCTGATACTGATACGTCTTTTCTTCAGACTGACCTAAATTCCATTACTAACTGGTGTGACGTCTGGAAAATGCGCCTTAATGCGAGTAAATGGAAAGTAATGAGAATTTCACGGAAAGCTGCCTGTACTAACTTTCCTCAATACAACATTGGTTCTGTTCTTGAGCAGGTGACATCGTACAAGTACCTAGGTGTCCATATAACATCTGACCTCTCCTGGAAAACTCACATTAATTTTATTGCTAACAACGCTAATCGCATGCTAGGTTACTTACGCCGCCACTTCTCAAGGGCTCCTTCATCATTAAAACTACAACTGTACAAGACCCTCGTTAGATCCAAGCTTGAGTATGCCAGTTCGGTGTGGGACCCAGGCCATGAATTTCTAATTAATCAAATTGAATCCGTACAAAATCGTGGCGCACGTTTTATTTTGTCTAATTTCTCGCGTTTTTCTAGTGTATCATCCATGAAACTAACTTTACATCTTCCGAATCTTTCATTGGGTAGAAAATTATCTCGTTTGTCCTTATTTCACAAAATTTATCATCACAACCAGCATCTAAGTGAAGAGCTTTTTTCTGAACCATCGTATGTATCCCATCGAAATGATCATCACCATAAAGTCAACGTTCCGTTCAGTCGCACGAAGCTCTTTTTTGATTCTTTTATCCCAAGAACTACTAATGACTGGAACCACCTGCCCACCTCCATCGCCACAATAACAGACGCTCCTGCATTCAAGTCTGCCATTGAAAACTATTATGTTAACTAATATGTGTTGAATTCTATTTTTTGTACTTTTGTTTTTCCCCCACTCCCTTCTGTAATGCCGTGTGGCCTTGAAGGTATTGAAATAAATAAATAAATAAATGAATCTCAAAGCGCCGCATGAAAGACGAAGATACCAAGAAAGGACCTAGCCGTCCACGACAAATCTCAGTCTGGCGTTGTCTGCACTGCAGCAGGCGCTTCATGTAAGGAGATTACGTACCCGGATTACGCATAAACAATCTGGTCTCCGAAGCCGTGCGCGCGGTGTCCGATGGGTCTCCGATGGACCTAATAACTCCACCGAAAAAAACCTGGAGGAGATCCTGTTCCGCGCCAGTCGGCGTCGACGTCGAAAAGCAGGAAGCGAAAGTTAGAGGTGCTGACTTAGTATACGAGGACCTACGTCTGCACTCAGGCATAAGAAAAATATTTCCGCCAGGCGAGTATGCCGCACCTGCTAATAATGTAGAGGTTGCGCACCAAAGTGATATATTACAAAAAGTCTTTGACTCCGCACACCCAACTGAACCAGCAAGCAAAGGTGTGTGTTTATTACCAGAGAACGTACACTACGCTGCGCTGAAGTACATTACAGGCGACTCGAAGACGGACGAGATGATCATATTTCTTTTGAACCAGCTAAAAATCTATAGGAAGATTTTTTTTGTCTTTTACTAGCAATATATTCTTCAAGAGGGTACGATATGCATGTTCCTGTCACCGAAAGGCTACGACGATGCCAGATCATCGAATCGGCTCACGCTACCCAGAAAATATATCTTACAGGGCTACGTAGGGCCTAGTCTACTAACATCTGGAGTGAGCGCTGCAATTAAAGACCGGTAGCCACTGAAGCATCCATATTGAGTGGAGCACAGCCGTTAATGTCAATAGTAATAGACCAAGCATTTATAACGGAATGCGTCAACGACCGAAAAATGTACGATGTCTTCAGACTGAAGGACCGGCCGAAAATGCGCACTAGCACGTCATAAAGCTGCGCCCTCGCCAACAGATCGCTGTGCTACGTCTTGAATGAAGTCGTGACCGCTTACAAGATTTCTTACGCGTACTTCTTTACAAAGCAACTGAGCGAACGGGACCTCTTCGCTTGGACCAAAAATGTAATTACAGAAGCAGAGTCCTGCGGATATGTCATCATTCGGATTGTCACTGACAACTATTTTGCAAACATCACTATGCTTAGGCATTTTGAGAACAGTTTCTTCAAGGCCGTTGTAGACCGCCCTCACAATCCTCAAAGCTTGTTCTTCTACAGCTTGAACCTATGTCACATTCTTCAAAAAATAATCAAGTCAATTACTTAAACGCGAGCTGTCAGATGCGTCAGGTGCCGTAACTGGAACACTTGTCCAAAAGCTTTATGAGCTGCAAGGACAGAAGACGGTAAAGCCCGCAAGAAACCTCACGAGCGAACATGTTTACCCTTCCAATCTCGAAAAGATGAATGTTCACAAAGCTGTCCAGGTATTCTCACCGCAAGTAATGGCTGCCCTGGAGCAACGGCTTGCTGGCATGTCCGGAAGTCCTGCGCTATATGATTTCAAGTTCACTGGCTCAAGTATCTACTTTCTGAAATTGATAAAAAATTTCGCACTCGTACTATGGCACTTGGCTCAAAAAACAAAAAAAATCTTTCAGGGCGAAAGAAGATTCATGCCTGAAGTGACTGCGTTGTGTGTTGGCGGGTATTATGGCGCAACAGCAACGGGACCACACTGCGCCAGACTAAACTAACTGATGAGACTACTATGGTCACGTCATTACAAAATGACAATATTGAAAATAAGTAGGACTAGACCTGGTGTATAAGGACCGTACTAGTAATAAAAACCAAAACTTGATCAAGAGGAATGAGGAGGTGCTTTCCCTGCAAGAGAAAGGAATGAAAAGGAATACACAATCTAAAAAAACTCCGGAAAATGAGCAGGTCGTGTCAAGTCCTGGGCAGAGCCACAAATAATGAATAGAAAGGTGGTCTCCACAGTGCTCACAAACTGATGAACCCTCCCCACAAAGGGGACATGTGTGTGTAAGGAAAGAGTGACCAATTCGAAGCCGGCATAATACCACTTCATGTAAGTGGTTCTTAAGTGAGGAGCTCTCCCAAGACCCAAGGACTGGCTTGGTTACATGGAGCTTGTTACTACAGTCCATGGCCTCCTTTGACTGCCATTAACGAAAGAGTGACGTCCTAATTAGTGGTTTGATATCCTGATAGAGGAAGCTATAGCACAATATAAAGAGCAGTTGCTTGAAAATGCAGTGAGCCTGTCTGCCTCCTTATTGCCCTTTATTCCCACATTACTTGGAACCCAGCAGAATATTGCAATATTCGTATATTGCAATTTTTACGTAAAGCTCCGTTAAGTTTACTTCGCACGTGTTCCACAAGCATAATCTTAGTGGCTTTTAAAGGTCATATTGCGGTAATGGCACTCGAGAGGCCACAGATTATAGTGGCCGTCTACTTTTAGTCTTCGAAATATTGTTCGGGAAGGTGAGAGAGAATTATGGGAACCAGAGGCAGCGTGAGAACTCAAAAAGTACTTTACCGTAAGAATACAAAAAGAACAATACGATCAAGGGCGTCACATAAAATAATGATTCTTGCATTCAAAAGTAAAGATATACATGTTCAACAATAATGGTCGTGGCGGGTGGATCGTGCCGTGGCGGGTGGATCGTCGTTGAGCAGATCGTGGAAGGATGATCCCGCGGCCCGCTGGTGCCCTTCGGACCAAAATGTCGAAGCCTGGAGGAGTTGATTTCAAGGGCGGGACATAGCCGACCGATTAAAGCTTGGCGGAGTCCTGCAATTCAGAAACTGGAGTCAGCCGACCTGAGCTCCGCAGCACAAGACGACAGCAGCCAACGAACAAAAAATAAGGGCGCAAACGAGGTGGTGTACATTGCACATGGTTGAAAAAAACCCGAGACTGCGGGTAAACGACACAACACTAAAAAGTCTAAAGAAACTTTTTAGTGTTGTGTCGTTTACCCGCAGTCTCGGTTTTTTTCAACCAGCAGCCAACCCTCGTGGCCCGTCAGTTCGCTTCGACGCCCTCTCGCGCCTCTTCCTACTTCTTTTCTTCACACCACCGAAAATCTCTTCTTCATTACCTTCCTCAGGATCGTGTCCGTCAGCAAACAAATGATGACACAGAGCTCCGGACAGCTACCGCCATCTATGAACGACGGCGGCAACCAGACAACCAGCTTGCCGGTTGTCTGGTTGCCGCCGTCGCTCATAAATGGCGGCAACCTTTCGAGACTTTCCACTCTGGCTTGCCGACTTGCGGCCGGCCATTACTTCATTTCCACCATAGTACAGCTTCGCTGAACTTCCTTCTCCACCACAGAGGAAAGGCTGAAAGTTTTTTCTCCTTGTCTTGCAAATCATGACAAACTCTGCCCTCTCCAGCCTTTTGGCTACCGGGGGAGCGGCACGAGGGTTGTGCCGCTCTTTGGAGGAAGTCCCCTCCAGTGAGGTAGGGCGATAGTGTCGCTCTTCACCAAGGGGGGGGGGGGGGGGGGAACTCAAAGTACGTGCAGGCGTGAGCACTGCCTGCCTGTCTTGACACTGGGGGGAGGGGGGGGGGGGCAGGTGGTGTGCTTCCCCTAGAAGCTGAAGGAAGCTGCCGCCCCTGCTGTGAGGCTGGGGCCCGGGGAAAAACTGCTACGATATCAGGCGAGACCATGGGTGGCTTTTGATTCCGTTCGCGGTGCAGGGCTGAACACCGTGGAGCGAAGTTCATCAGCGAAATTGTCAAATTCGAGGGGTGAAAAAATTTAGTACAACACGCCGACGCGTATTCATTGGCACCAAAGTTCATGCGACGAATTGTCGATGACCGCCGCCGAAGCCGATATAAGATGTCAAGGCGTCAGTTGCGTGATCGACTCCATCTGCGCCAATGATCACTTGCAAACGCTGAAAATCCGAGTGCACTGCCCAAGCAGGACGCCGCCAGCAAACCGGGTGTCACAAAAAAAAAAAAAACGTTAAAGTAGTTGGAACTTGGTTCCACTTCGGAGCCAGTCAGAAATAAGTCAGTTACTTGACCCAACCGGTAGCGGCGGACGCCGGGAGAACAATATCAAGCACGCCTGTACACCTTTTCCACAAGGGCGCAGCCATCTAGAATTTCGTCACTTCTTATATGCGTTAAGATATCGCTTGAGTCTCTCCCTGCCGCTGGGAAATGTTCACGAAAATTTCGTGATTGTCAGATATTCTTGATTTGCCTCACCAATATTTTCTCGCGTATTGTAGAATGAAATGTTTTATTATTTTTTCCTCCCGGATACCAGATACGGAACTCACGTGACTGAGAACGAAAGAAAACGAAAAACCTTCTATATACGTTTCCTGTTTCCTTTCGTTCTCAGTTACGTTGGCTCCATATCTGGTGTGCGGGACGAACAAATAATGAAACATGTCCACCTGGAACATGCGAGAAAATACAGGTGAGGCCAAACAGGAATGAATCACAATCACGAATTTTTTGTGATCACCTTCCAGCGGTCTGGAGAGATCAAAACAATGCTTTATCCGATACCAGAAGTGACGACCTTCAAAATGGCTGCGTCCTTGTGGAAAGGGTATATTAGGGAGGAGATCGAACAGTCACGAATCTAGCAGTACGCTTCAGCTGTGTGGACAAAAACCATACTTGTTTCTTTTTGATCTGAAAAATCGAAGACGGCGATTCGAAGGCTGCTTCTACACCAATGGTCACTTGCAAACGCTGAAAATCGAAGTATAGCACGGTCGTGCCCAGACCGTGCTATAGACCTTTTTCGCATAACCTCAAACCAGCCAGTAACTAACGTACCCTCGACCTGGTGCATTTTTAGATTGCCCGCTGACACAGGGTACGCAACCGCCAAGGGAATGGGCGAAAAGGCTTAAAAACGGACGTCGTGCATGAGTTAGTTCCGAGAGCTCCTTTTTACTATGCTGCAATTTCCGAAAATCTAAGGTTGTCTGGCTACCACTGCGTGGTCGTCGGATGGATAAATAATTTTAAAAAGCATAAGAAAAATAGCAGAAAGTCTGCCATGAGCACAAGATGCTTCAGCGCGCGTGTGGCTGCAATGTTATCGAGCTTCGCATTTTCCCTAAGAATCCTTATTTATGAAGTCAATCGATTGCGAGCTTGAATCGCGAGAGATTCGTATCAGACTCAACGTCACGTTTAAGCTCACGACCACATCGTCTACGACAAGAGGACCGATTTTAATTCCCGGCGCAGGTGGTCCAATTAGGTTATCACTGCAAGCCCCGTGGTATCTGTACGGTACGAAAAAGTCTACATGCCACCACTCAAGATGGAGCTATCAAATGCCGAGTGCTTACCTGCATAGACTACATTAAACTGCTCATATATACTTCGTTGTGGAAACTCAATCAAAACACCCCACCGTCTTCGTCCTCGTTCTCTCGAGGAGGCAAGGTAATGGCCTGTGAGTAGCCAGCTGGATTCAACCGGACAAGCTCCAACCAACTTATTGCAGCCCACCATAGCCAAGTCTAGCCAAGTTCCCCCCATACCCACACCGTTGCCTACCCAGATAGGTGTGCTGCCAGAACTAGCCGGTGTTTCTTTTTCTAAGCTGCTAGACGGCGTCTTCGGCGACGCAATTCTGAAGATGGCGGCGCCGTTAAAGAAAAGGTCTATACTCCGTTTCACCTTATGTTGTACCGCAGCGAAGGACTAGAAGCCCGAGCTCATACCGTTGGCAGCTGCCCTTGGTGCACGAGAGCTTGTGGCGCAGAGATGTGCCCTAGAGCAAGAAACTCGCGCTTGTAGCCTTTCCAACAACACGACGCGTTGTTGGAACAACACAACACAACACAACAACGAAAACAAGACGAGGCGAGGTTCAATTTATTTGTTACACTGTGTTACTAAATTCACTTGTAGCATCGGCTGTGGGGACAACAAGCTTGGTAAAGCGCTCCCAATAGTTCGATTTTTTGCCTAATGCTTTGTTTAAGCTAAAGTACAGACGCAGTTTTCGATGAAGCCGATACTACAAGTGCCAGCACGTGACCCTGAACAGTGCTTGCACTGCACGAGTGCGCGGGCTTGGCAGGGACGCTGAAAACCCGGAGCTCCCTCTTGCAGATTTTGCCACGCTCACTGTGAGAGTGGCAGATGCTCGTGGCCCACCCCGTGGCCCGATTCAAGCCTGACCCAAGTCCGAGCGCCCGACCTGCATGCGCAGCTGCGAGCAACTCGTTCGTTCACGGAATATTCTGAGTCATCGACGAGGAAAAGGCTACAAATAAATCGTGGCTGAATCCACCTGAATTAATTAGAGCCACTAAATGAGCAGCGCTTATACCCTAGTTACCCTAGCCCTCTCAACTGTCCCTATGTCTACGATCGTTTTCATCCCCCAACTGTTATTGAGCTCAACTAAATTGTCCGGTGTTACACGGCACATAGTCTCAGCCACTACCTACTGCAATGCTGACGCGCCCACAGAATGGCTGTCTAGGGGATACGCTTTCGCCGATGAGGTGCCTCTCCCGACCATTGTAGGCGGCGCGCGGCTGGTGATATTTGTTCGTCTAGAACACCGACCGTGGCGTGCACTCTAAGAAGAAATGGAGGAAAAAGGTAGCAACGGCGCGTCTTCCTCCCTTCTACTGACGCGCCCCCAAGCGGACACGAGAAAAAGAGAAAAATAATAAAATGTTGGGGTTTTACGTGCCAAACCAACGACGGGCATCTGGCACGTTCCAGCGGAGGACTGAGGATTAATTTGGACCACATGGGGATTTTTTGACGTGCAGCCGACGCGCCTCCTCCGCAATATGCCTCCGTCAGATTGCGAGCACCTCGGCCGGGATTCGAACCCACCACATGGGGATCCGTAGGCCAACGCTCTCGCCTCGGAGCCACCGAGGCGGCTGAGAAAAAGGGAGGAACAAAACGTTTCTCTCCTTCTCCAGGCAGATTTCCACTGGTCACCTTGCAAAGTTCATGTTTTGGAGGAGAGACGAGGCGCGGGGAAACACTGATAGATTCCAGTCGTTCGTCGCCGCGGCCGCCAAAATCTAGATCCCCGACGCTGACAGGGCCAGGATTCTGACGGCCCCGGTGACTTCGAAGGATCCCCTGCGCTGAGCCCGTCACCCGCCTGCATGCATAAAGACGACTTATGCGCCAACCGCTCGTCAAGTGCTCGTTACGTCAGTTATAGGTTCTGGTAGCGGTCTAAGCGGTCCTTTTCAGGGCCCCCATATTTTGCAAACGGAGCTGTGTTTTTAATGCGGCACCCCGTGTCTCTGTAAAAAGTTCACAGGAAAGACCCAGCAAAGGTATGTGGCCCCCAACTTGGATATCGGGTGTTATGATTCGAATAAAAATTGTTCTTGCTTATTTCGAGCCTGTGATCAAAATAAATGCCGCAGTTGCAGTCGTCCCGCGGTGCTGTTGCTCGCCCATTCGCCGTCGGCGTGCCTCAGCTTCGTCGGCTTTGCTAGCGGCGCACTGGCGGAGGCGGTTGATCTGACACACCGCGTTCGGCTTTGGCTAGCAGACGGCGTTCGTAAAATGGCGTCAGCTGTTGCTGGCTTCACGCGGCGGTACCGTTCGTGCTTCTATTCATTCGGCGTTCGTTGCCATGGTGACGGCGAGGAAAGCAGACGAACTTTTTGATGCGGAAGAACGCTGCGGCGCAGCGATACCAGGTGCGTTCTAAGGCCCTTCCCGCATGCTTTTCAATGGGCGGAAGGCGAACAAAAAGAGTTCGAAATAAGGACTTAACGCACAAGGCTGTATTTCTCCAGCGCCTCATAATTCAACGAGCCTTGCACGAAAAGCATGTTTTTTTGGCCATCCCGCGTCCTGTTTTTTTTATCCGGAACATGGGTCTAAAGTATCAAACTGCCATCAGTTCATTGCAGAGGAATTCAAGTAAAAGAGACATAACGAAAGTCTTATTGGCACCGATATCACGATGGCCGTCCTCGCCGAGCTTCGGGTTCCGCGACGTGCCGTGATCGTTCTAGCGGCAGCTCTGGCCCCGAAACGTAACTCTTCCGACAATATTTGCTTCTATTTGCGCCGCCATCTTGGGGCTGGTGCAGAGCAGACGCAAAGGCCCATCATCATGATTCAAATGTGCGACTTTCTCAGCATTAGATTCAGATTCGGTGTTATGAAGCTCATGCCATATTGCTTTGCTTTGTTGCGAACTGTTTAAACATTTGTGTATGACGGAAAAACGTTTCCTGTGATTTCAGATAAAGCTTCAGCCAATTAACCAGGCACGTAGCCAGGGGGGAGGTTGGGGAGGCGGGCCCACGGGGCCCGCCCCCCCCCCGAAATCTTCCATTTTGCTGGGACCTCCTCTCCTCCCCTCCATACAGCATTTTGTCATCGGCAAGCCCTCCCCCCCCCCTCCCCCCCCCCCTTTCCGTAACAAAATCCTGGCTACGTGCCGGTAACTGACAACTATGACTTTAAGCACCAATAGGGGTAAGTGTCGTTACTTTGAAGCGTAGTCTATTTAGTGGCTCGTGTACCCTTAACGAAGAGCTGATTGAGGCGCCGATGCTAGTGAACACCTGCTGACGAGGAGGCCTCAGAAGCTCGCGCGCAACGTGCAGGAGATTTAAATTAGATATCTCGCTCCTGGCAGACGATCAGCGAGAGCACAGGGGAGTCTCTGCAAGAGACCACTACTCGCGGGCCGCTCACATGTTCAGGATTCCGATGTTCTTGTAGTACCCGGGCCGGCTGCTGCGGTACTTCTTGAAGGCCGTGACCCCCATGCGGAAGGGCGTCTTGCCCTCGTGCTGGTACAGCGCGTGAAAATCGTCGGCGCTCAACAGATGCACCAGCGAGTAGCGGCCGGGCAGCTTCTCAGCCACGATGGGGCCGTACTGGCGGTGCATGTCCAGCGCCGCCTCGTGCCGCCGGTCCGGGTCGTATTTGCCTGGGGTTACGAGACAGCCGCGTCTTTCACTATTGGCGGAGAGTTTTTTTGGTGGCGCCCTCCTCCGGTTCCCTTTCGTGACGGCATTACCTTGCGTACAACAGGTGCGATGGTGTTTGTAATGAGCGTGGTGGAAGACTGAAATCATTGCGCCCTGGAACCACCTCTGCCAACACCGTCGAAATTGAACTTCTTACATTCCTCTTATTCCTGTCGATGACAAATCCTTTGCTGACGTCATATTCAGCATTCGGCCAATCGCGGCAAGTAGACTACAGCGAAGCTTTCGATCGCGTGCCTCGCCAATGGCGCCGAGGGAGATCAAAAGCGTCGCTGCAGTCGACGTTCCAGATTGACCAAACCATAGCTTCCTGTCTACTCATAATGCCTGCGCAATCGCTGAGTAGCAACGAGAAATATCCTGAAAATCACAGCGAGGCGGGTCAAATCTTGCAAATCACGGCGAGGTAAATCCTGGTCGTAGCGTCACGAACGGGAACCATAAGATGGCACCGCCCAAACATCTCGGCGCTAATAGAGAGTTTAAGGGAACCGTTTTTGCATATCCTCTACGGTACAATGGGCCCCCCGGCACGTACTGCGCATGTTCCAAGCTTCTGCGGTGGGTGAGTGTGACACATGCGCAGTTCGTATCGGAGGGCCCATCGTACCGCGGAGGATGTGCAAAAACGGTTCCCTAAAACTCCCTAATATTCATATGGTGTAACCGCCGAGTGCAGCGGTCACATGAACAGCGAGTGATTCGAAAGACATTTCTATTGGAGCGGGAGAGACTTGTATGTAACGCGTTACGAGCTGCGTGTTACGTACTATTCGCTACTTCTCAAGTAACATAAACTTCATTACTCAAGACATTTTGATTTTTTTTTTTAACAAGAGCAATGTCTGCATTTGTCAGTGCGACCGCAACACGCCTAGTCACAGCCTCCTCTATACGGAGAAAGCCTGGCACATCGACGACGGAGCCACAAGGCACGCGGCCGCAGGAAAACCGAGAGGAGGAGCGCGCGGAACGGTGACAAATATGGTAGCGCAAAGCAGAAAGGGCAGTGATAGTGTGCGAGCGCTTGGGTCGTGCAGCGGCAGCTTCCCGAACCACGTTTGTTTACGTGTTTTCGTCACCATCGTTTTCGTGCTCCGTACAAAGGATAGCCAGAGGAAATGTATTTACTGTATGAGCGCGCCTGCAAAGCAGGGAACATATGAGTGCTCGGCTCGCACGCCTAGCATTGCCTTCGCGCGCACGTAGGATGAAACGAGCTATTTCTTTGACTTCGTTCAAACCTATGGTGAAACGAAATATATGGTCCATGAATCACCGAACACTGCAAGCACCAGATACCGAACTTTCCGGGCAGTTCGTAGCACAACCTCCAAGCCAGAGATGGCAAAATTACTTTGAAAAGGTAATTAAATTCCATTATTAATTACTTTTCTGAAAACTGCAGAAATGTAATTAAATTGCATTACAAATTACCGCAGACTACACGTAATTACATTACATTACAATGACTCTCCAAAAGTAATGAAACTACTTTGGAATTACTTTCTCCTTACTTTTGAATACCTTGAGGCAGCAATTCGCGCTCAGTTTATTTACCGTATACTCCAACGCAGTGTTTACAAAACAAGACCTCGTTTGACCCCACAGCGCGTGTGCAGGAACCAGATCCGAAAGAAGCCAGGCACTGCGAATGCGCAGTGCCGACAGCAGCATTACCGCAGTGATGTCACGTCAAAGAGCTGAGTTGGTCTATGTGTACCAAAACTCAGATCTTCCTGATTACACCGCAACAACCTTATGTGCCTCAAAGTGAACCATACTTTACCGTGCTTTTGCTGGTGCACACTACATAAGTGTTAAACCTGCTGAATAGCTTGTTTAGATGTGACTCAGAAAGACAGTCGACTCACAGGTATTCGCTGTTCATTCAACGGTGAAGGTTCTTGCTACAAGGGCGATATGTTTCCGTCTTCCTGATTTAGAAGTCGTAGTCCGTGTCAGTTTGTTAAATCGGGCAATGGCAGCTCGTTCTCACAAGGAGTCGTCGCGTGAAACGTTTCCCTTCTGCCTTGGACGCAACCTAATTCTATTCTTTCGAGAGCACTATACTCGTCGATAACGTTTCTTCGCAGTGCAGTGCAGAGGAGGAGAGCCCGCGCACAGCTTTATTCGGTGCTCAAGACGTGAGAGGGAACCCGTGCCTGTACCCTCCACTGCATTGCCAAGGAAAGCTGCCGCCGAGTATAGTTGACCTATTCTCGGTCATTCTTTTCAAGGAGCATTTTTCCCAAACACCCGAAGAGTCCAAGCTTTTGTGCATTGTCACAAAAAGGGCCCAAATATTTGCCAAGCAGAAGCGTCGTAGGTCGGGGAATGGCGCGAGCTTCCTAAATTGTGTGCTTTCCCAACAAACGGGGGCCGATATCTGCTTCAGTGTTGCGGAGTTGCCACTCCGGAGTTGGAATGATTCCGGAATCATTCCGCATTTTCACGACCCCGGAATGGAATGGGAATGGAATGGCGGCAACGTTGAGAGGAATGGAATGGGAATGGAATTAGGTGCCTGTTGCCCGGAATGGAATGGGAATGGAATGGGCACGGTTCTTTTTTTTGTGTGTGTGTGTGTATTCTTGGTCAGCTAAACCGGGCCAGTCAGCGAGTCAGTTGCTCAGAAATAAAATGAGCGGGAAACTGCTAGCCCGCGTGGAGCCCTAACAGACTTATACACACACACAAAAAAATGCAATACATAAAACAAGCGTCAAAGCAAAGGAGGAAAGGGGGGTAACGTGGCGCCTTTCACGGCCGCGCAGGCGTCGGGCTTTGATGGCGTTACACGAGACCGAAACAAGAAACCAAGCACCAAGCAAAAGAAAAGGGAGCGGCAAAAAAAGAAACCGCCATGCACAACTCCTCATCGTCCTTCTTGACATGCTTTTTTTGTTGTTGCGACGGTTTGTAGAATGCACGCGCGCGCACAGACTCAGACCTGGGAGCGGAAGCGACTCATAACTCGCAAAGCTCTGATAACTCGTTGACTCGGGCGCCGCCGAAAGATGATCAGGTATTGTTTTCTTATAGTTCGAGGAGCGTTGTTTAGCAGGCAGCCAGCCCTGCCGGCCCTGCTGCCTTCACGTTCATTCGCGCGCACTCCTTTGAAGTGCGAAATGTGGGTTGGCTTCGGGCATTAAAACAAAGCGAGATTCACTTCCCCCCTCTCCTCTTGCGCTTTGCTCCGAGGCTTGCTTTTTAATACTGCATTTGTAGTGTAAGTCCGCCTTTTATTTGGTCTTTGTTCCGATGCTTGTTTTTTGTGTTATATGTTTTAGTGGGTTGGGGTTACAAGCAAGCTAGCGGATTCCCGTTCATTTCCTTTGACTTTAGTCTCTGCGTACTTCGTTTTACCTTGCGATGGACCGCTGCGGACGCAACGAGTCACCCTAGGCAATCCAGCACCATGAGCGGGACTGCTGGGTCACGCGACATTCAGAAGGCACTGGATTGGCTTCGATGGCTCTCGTGCTGTCTGTTGAGGTCCATCGTAAGGTGAAGTAGACTATCGTCACCGCTCTTGGTGTGACCAAACTGACTAGACCTGGAGAAAGACCGTCCCGCGCCAGACGAGGCGCGACCGTTGCTGTGAGGGCAACTGAGAAGGAGAGCTGGGTGCTATAGCTGCCACCGATGTTTAGGCTTCCGCGCGTCTCGGCTGTCCGATCTGCATTTTGCTCCTTGTCCTGGACCCTGTTTGAGAGGGTGAGAAGTCAGTTGGACGGTGTTGTTGAGGAAACACGGGGAATGTCAATTCGAACGGTGCTGCATTACCCCGTTAATTGTATCTTGATCTGAAGAGCTTTGTCAACGCTGACTGCCCGACCCGTCGCCACAACGCGAACAACCGGCACCGAGGTAGAAGAATGAATCGGTTTGTACCGTCTGCTGCTTGAACTCGCCACTCGATCAGCGCGAAGAGGAACATCACAATTTGGACATTAGTCGCGAAGAAAATAAACAAGCTGCACGCTGAAAGTTGTGCAACAATACGAAACTATACACGGTGCGTCAAGTCGGCGCATATTATCGAACTTTATTTGCCATCTGAAGAGGAAACACGAGAATGAGTATGCGAAGGGTGGAAAAGGGTAGGCGAGCCAGCCAAAAATAGAATTGAATATGATAATAAATATCGAGATTCGTAAAGCAAGCGTGAACTTATGCGTTTTAAAACAGGTTTCGTGACATGGTCTATACGGTCCCTCGTGCTGCGCCGCACAGGTTGCATTTTGTCAGAGGATGTGTTTTTGCCGCTGTGCATGGAGTCGCTTCCAGCAGTGTACTAGCCGTGTTGCTGTATTTTAAGAATACAGTAATATAGCTTATTTCTGCGCCACGCACGAACTGGATATTTTTATGGTCTTGTCAAACAAACACGCTGGCCGCGTATGTCCCAAAAGTCAGATGCAAAAAAGTTAAAAAAAAAGAAAAGAAAATGAGTGGATTTAAAGGGACACTGACACCCCCCAAAATTTTTTTTTTATTTTTTGCCAGGCGCTTCATTATGGTGTCGGACGACTACCCAATTAATATTTTGCAACAGAGTAGCGTATTTTTTTAATAAAGCCAAAAGACGCAACTGCTCGAAACCGAAACCGAAACCCGACGGAGGTCGGAGAAGTGGAGAGAAGAGTGTGAGTGGCGGAAGTCACGTGGCTACACGCGACTGTGTTTTTTTTTTTTCCTTCTTCCCGTAGCAGACGACATGCGGCGTACCGGAACTGTTCACCGAGCGATTCTTTTGCAGTTATGTATGTTCCGCTCGTTGTTCTGTACTCCAAGATGAGTCGTTTTGTACATTGAGGAGTTCGAGATGAGTAGTGAGTGCCCGTGGTGAATTTTGATCGGCTCCGAAAAGAATACACCCAAGATGTTGCGTGAAGAGCT